CATTTTTCGGCAAATTTCACTAGTGTTGCTGTACCCCCCAGACTTCTCTCACGTACCCCGAAGGATAGATATACCCCTGGTTGAGAAACACTGGTCTAGACAGTGCTAGGTCCTGCCATGAGGTGAGGGGAGGACTAGGGAGTTACTCGACTATTCTATCGCCCCCGGGGATGGGGCCAGCAGCCAGTGTGCTCCAGCCCCTCTCCAAAGAGCCCCCTGCCACTCCGCGGTGCTGCCTGTGTATTATGTGGCTTACCAGGCAGGAGCTGGTTCATGTAGGGCGCCAATTTAAAACCCAGCTCCCCTTGTGGTGCCCCCCGCCCCCCCCCAAAAGCCCCCCCTGCCACTCCGCGGTGCTGACTGTGTATTATGTGGGGTACCAGGCAGGAGCTGGTTCATGTAGGGCGCCAATTTAAAACCCAGCTCCCCTTGTGGACCAGCTGCCTGTTGCCCTTTGCTGCTGCCTCTGATACAGAGACAGCAGTGTGGGTTGGTAGCAGCCCCTGTCTGGGGGGAGGGAGGGTGTGAGCTCCCAGGTTTGGCACAAGCCAGAACTGAGCAGGGCTGCCTGCCCGGCCGGCCGGCTCCTAATGCACTTTAAATGCAGAGCCGCAGCAGGGGTAGGTTCCAGACCCAGGCTGCTAAAAAACGTACTGGCAAGTGCGAGGGGAAAATGACTGTAGTCTGTAGCATTGACCTATACACTTTTGCTTATCGGTTAATCAGTTAATCCCTAGACTGGACTGATGACCTCTCAAGTTCCCTTCCAGTTCTAGTGTTCTCTGATTTCTAATTTGTTTCCAGGTGCAAACTGCCAGTTCTGGCCTATGATGCCCTACATGATTTGGGGGCGGCTAATTTAGGGACTGGTCTGTAGAAAATATTCAGGCCCGAGTGCTCAGATGTGTTGCAGACAGGGGGACTGGCAAGAGAACCTTGTGCAGGTGGTTGGGGATGAGTTAAGTCCTAGTCCTGTGTAGCGCCCCCTCTCCACCTGGTTACCTTCTTTTAAAGCCAATCTCCTTTCAGGTTCGGATGGATAGGTCTGGGTTCTTCTGGATCCCGCCACCCACTCAATTTTATTCTTTCTGATTGATGTACTTGGCGGTGCCTCCACCCCCCTCACTCCTTCCTAGCAGGGTCACCAGGGCAGCTTGGGAGGAAAATTCTACCGAGCTCCCAGCACGAGACAGAAGTGAGCCGGGCTGCCTGCCCACCCGGCGCTTAATACGCTTGAAATGCAGAGCTGAAACGGGGGTAGGACCCCGCGCAGCAGGGGTAGGTTCCAGACCCAGGCTGCTAAAAAACGTACTGGCAAGTGCGAGGGGAAAATGACTGTAGTCTGTAGCATTGACCTATACACTTTTGCTTATCGGTTAATCAGTTAATCCCTAGACTGGACTGATGACCTCTCAAGTTCCCTTCCAGTTCTAGTGTTCTCTGATTTCTAATTTGTTTCCAGGTGCAAACTGCCAGTTCTGGCCTATGATGCCCTACATGATTTGGGGGCGGCTAATTTAGGGACTGGTCTGTAGAAAATATTCAGGCCCGAGTGCTCAGATGTGTTGCAGACAGGGGGACTGGCAAGAGAACCTTGTGCAGGTGGTTGGGGATGAGTTAAGTCCTAGTCCTGTGTAGCGCCCCCTCTCCACCTGGTTACCTTCTTTTAAAGCCAATCTCCTTTCAGGTTCGGATGGATAGGTCTGGGTTCTTCTGGATCCCGCCACCCACTCAATTTTATTCTTTCTGATTGATGTACTTGGCGGTGCCTCCACCCCCCTCACTCCTTCCTAGCAGGGTCACCAGGGCAGCTTGGGAGGAAAATTCTAGCCCAGGATAATCCCCACATATTTGCCAGATAGTTGGAGACTCCCAGAAAATAGCACAAACACATACACTATAATAAACACAATTATATTAAACAGGAGACAAATATAACAGAACAGAGTAAAACACTATTTTTAGGGTCACCGGTGCCCAGCAACTGTAAGATCAGTGTCCCATTGGTACGCGCACTTTGTTGGGGCCCTTGATGACTGTTGACCACA